CCGTCTTGGAAGCTGGCGCAGGGCAGCCGCGCGGAGCCGCTCCCCTCTGAGCTGCCAGGACGCTGGCGCGAGGGCGCTGCGAGGTCCCGGGCTGCAGCTTCTGCAGCTCATCTGCCGTGGGACAGCGCTGCAACCGGGCCCGTGGCTCGATGGGCACCAACAAAAACCAAACCAAAGAGCCCCCGTCCCGCCGGGCTGCGCGGGGACAGGCGGCCGCAGGACACTGTGAGCGGTGGCTCGGTGGGGCAGTGGCCACAGTGGTCACCGCCATGGCCCAACACTTCCCAGTGAAAACCATCACCGGGTGCAGTAACGGGAACCACCCCCAACCCAGGGGAAGGGACACAGAACTCCAGCCACCACCGCCCCTGTTCTTGGCTGGCAACAAGCACGGGCAGTGTTTTGTTTTTCACACAATCCCTTTGAGATGATAAACAGGATGTCACACGAGGTAGTTTTGTTATGGAAATTGAGTCAATAATGTTATCAACTATTACAAGACATTTTATAAATTGAAAGAAAACAATGAATCACAAAAGGCTTTGTTAAGGTTGATCGTCATCTGGTTTCAATTTCTGTTTCTTTTTGCCCTTGGGGGCATTTCTTCCACTGAACCATGTTGCTTCTTTCATAGACTTGTTAGAGATCAGCTGCACAGGAGCTTTTTAAATTTTTTTTTTTCAAGGGGAAGATATTGCCTGGATTGGCCTCACCAGCTTTTTGCAGGGCTGGCTTAAACTCAGATTTGCAGCTCCTAGCTGATGAGACTGCGGGGAAGGTGGGTTTTGGCCCTGCAAAGTTTTGCTGACTCTTGGGGCTCGGTGCCGGCTCTGCCCGCGGCGGCGCCGGCCTGGACGGGGCCTTTTGGGTGCGTAACGGGACTAGTTTCACAGTCAGTACCTTCCTCGAGCAGTCTGACTGAGTTACGACCTTACCAGCCCACGATGGGGAAGCTGTGCTGACGGGAAATGAAGACACTAATTCATAAGCAACAAACCGAGCACAGAACCCTGGAACTGGTGGCCAGGGACGTGCGGAGAAATTCCCATTTTCCCCTTTTCCCCGAGCACCGCCGGGACGCTCTTCCCATCAGACCCCAGCTCAGCCCTCGGCAGCCAAACTGCCCACAAACCAAACCAAAAGTTTTTCCCCGCCCAAAATCTCCATGCGGGGGCTTTGTTCAGCTTCCCACGGGTCCTCCAAACAAATCATGAAAGAAGCAACTGTTGCAACATCAAAACTAGGGTTTCTCTGGGTCACATTTTAAATACTTATCCCTGAGCTTCCGTGTATTGCAAACAACACACCGTGAACCCAGAGAAACGCCACAGCTTGACACTGACACCCTACGTATTACCCTTGATTCACACATCATCTACAACTTAAACATTAGCTTCATACTTAAACTAGTTCCCCAAGTTTCCCCCTTTCTCCTGCCTTTTACGTGGCAGGGATGATTGCCGCTTATTATCCTGAGAAATAACAACATTTTCACAGACACCAAGCTTCATAGCTTCAAATCAAAACCAAGAAAGAAGAAAGAGTGAACGGTAAATAGCACATTCACAGGAGAATATTTTTTTTTCCTCATTTTAAAAAAAAGTAGTAAAGAGAAAAGAAATTCAAGTTTTTTTTATAAAAGGTTGGTTTGAAGGACAAGACTTAAACTTAACCTGAGGTGGCTGCGGTTCTGCGCAGAGGCCTGGAGAGCGAGGGCGGGCAGCGAGTGGCGCCGGACGCGGGCTCGAGCCTTTAAACGGGCAACTAAAGGGCAGGGGCCCGGCCACCGCAGCGGCCACGAGCCCCCCTCGCCCTCGCAGGCGACACCACAGCGCTGGGACAACGGGTGTCACCGGCCCAGCAGCTCGCCGGCACCGGTTGCCCTGCAGCTGGTGATCTGACGGGCTACATCGCACGGATCAACCCAAAAACGCCGTGTTCCCCCTTTGGTCTTTGCGTGATGGAAGGCGGCAAAAGCTCGGGATTTAAGAATGACAGAAAGAATCCAGAGCTGCACCCTGGTGACCCAAAGCACCCAGCGCCGCGGGCTAGCAGGCACGAGACGAGGACGACAAACACCACGGGCATTACTAATGCTCAGGAAGAACCAACGCAAACCCGCCGGAGGGTTCCCCCCGCCGCAGCAGCCCTGCCGTGCCCAGAGCCCCCCAGTTCCGAGGCACCTGGTGTCTCCGAGCACCCCGGCCGCCCTCCGCCGCCCCGGGCACGCCGAGGACCAGGACTCGCTGCTGAGACGCTCGGTGGGGCCAAGGCCCAGCCCAGGGGACACAAGCCTGGCCCAAGGGCAGGCAGTGGAGGAAAACCCAGGTGCTTCCCAGCAGCTTTTGCTGAGGTGCTGGGGTCTTGCCCCCGAGCTGGGACTCGGCCCCACCAGCCGCCAGCAGCAGTTTCTGCTCCGTTCTCGGAACTGAGGGAAGAGCCTCGGGCTGTAAAAGAGCAACGGGGGTACCTGGGCAGAGTCCCTCCACAGAGTCTGTGAGCTGAGCACTTCAAATTTATGTCCCGAATCTCTGCTCAGATTAAAAGTAACTCTTCAGCTTTCCATCTGCACAAATGCTATGAAGGAGAGGAGGGGGTCAGCCAGCCAATTTATCTTTCAAATCGGGGATAAAAATTGACTTGTCATGGCAGAAAATTCTACCAAAGACTATTATTGTTGATTGATTCCTCTATGACAGAAGGTCAGATAAGCAAGAGCAGATAGATACCAAAGATAATGAACTTCCCCCTACTAGCATTAAGCACAAATAAAATATGAGTCCCTGTAAACCGAATGTTACGTGAAGAATGGAACAAAAACTCCAACCTTTCCAGGGCGTCCTTCAAACCAAATTCACAAATACATCTAGTGACTGACCTAACGTCTCTACATCTCTAGCTACATTCCTACCCTCTCATAATACCTGAGTTTGCAATGCAACACATTCACTTTACCCTGTTTAAAAAATACAAGTCGTTAGAGGACTTGGTGCAGAAGATATTAAGAACGACTGTCCGGTGAGCTAGACTGGTTCGGTATATCGGCTTCTGCCTTACTTGTCAGTTTAGCAAGGCTTTTCTACTCCCTACAACAAATGGGTTATTCCTTAACAGACACTGCTGCCAATCAACCTTCGTAAAATTTGCTTTATACAACAGAAAGTAGAACGTTCTTGTCCATTCATCAGCATAAATGAATTCAGGTTGTTTTGTTGCTGTTGGTACAGCATTAGTCTTAGGAGTCTGTTTTGGATAAGCACAGAACCCCCAGCAGATTATTTTGGTTGGGTATTTGGCAGCAAGATGACCATTTTTATGTACACTAATTAAAACAAACTCTTATTCATCAACAGATTATAATAATTCAGTAACTGTAGAATAAAATTACTCCTATGCAATTTTAACAATTCCTTGAGTGTTATAAAACAGCAAGCCAGAAGATAACCCGTAATAAAAAGATCATATCAAGCTATTTGGAAATTAAACTTAAAAGCTGAGAAATACTTTCTAACTTACAAACAGATACACTAAAATCTTCCCATTTACACTTGAGGTATAGGCTGTATGCAGAAGGCTTTCCTGAGAAAATACGCGCTTGTCTCATTTAACAGTCAGAAAGTAAACGAGATTTACGGAACCGCCTTTGGATTGTGAAGCTCTATCAAGCTGAACTGCTGCTGGGCCCAGCAGCTGTTACCCGTAACATCCTATTTAAATAATGAAAAACGAGCAGCTAGTGGACTTCTAGGAAAGGGAACCTGTGAGGCTGGCGGGTGCCCGAGCGGGCCGGCAGAGGTGGCGATGCAGCGGGACACGGCCCGGGCGCCGC